TAGGTATAAAAACGCAAAATAGTATATGATGCACATTCTAATGGTTAGACAGATAGTCCGATCAAACTTTTCAAAGAAAACTATATATTTATATTGTGAAATGTCATATTTTTATTTTTTGTTGTTTTCCAAATATTGGTATATTCGGTATATAGGATTGATGCTACAAAAGGATTGCGACATTGATGAAGATGTTAGGCATAGAATTGCAGCCGGTTGGTTGAAATGACATCAAGTTTCGGGCGTTCTCTGTGATAAGAGGGTGCCACAAAGGCTAAAAGGTAAGTTCTATAGGACGGTGATTCGTCCGGCGATATTATACGGTACTGAATGTTGGCCTACAAAAAGGCAATATGTCCAACAACTAAGTGTAGCAGAGATGCGTATGTTCCGTTGGTTTTGCGGGCACACAAGAAGGGATAAAATCCGGAATGAGGATATTCGAGATAGGGTCGGGGTGACTCCAATTGAGGAAAAATTGGTTCAAAATCGGCTGAGGTGGTTCGGACATGTCCAACGGAGGCCTCCTGATGCACCGGTGCGTAGGGGAGTTCTACAGCGGGTCGATGATGTTAAGAGAGGTAGAGGTCGGCCTAAACTCACTTGGGAAGAGTCGGTTAAGAGAGACCTTAAAGATTGGAATATCTCCAAGGATTTAGCAGTGAATAGGAGCGCTTGGAGGCTAGCAATCAACGTGCCAGAATCGTGACTTTTGATCCTTTCTCTTTTGCTCCAATCACTTTCTTTTGCTTTGAGCCCTTTTGTGTTTCTCTTACCATTGGTTCTCTTTGGTTTCATCTCTAGTCTACTCCAATTTGCTTGAGACTAAAAGACTATGTTGTTGTTGTTGTTGTTGTTGTTGTGGTGGTATATTGGGTATGAAAGTATGCATAATTATTTGAAAAGTATGATTGTCATATAATTAATGCCTAACAACAGTCTTATCGGTACAATAAATATGTAATTTTTGTTTTGGTAATAATATTTAACTAGTACAGAGCCCGTGCGATGCACGGGGTGCACAATTTTAAGGCCATTTATCCAGTCTTATAATTATCCAAATGAATAAAAAAAATGTACGGGATATATATAGTACTTGACCTGTAATAGACCAAAATGTGAATAAGGGTGATGCACGGGGTGCACAATTTTAAGTTCATTTATTAGTACAGAGCCCGTGTGATGCACGGGGTGCACAATTTTCTAGTATGTGTAACAAAAATACATACCGTATGCACGGGACAAAAAAACCAAATGAGTCATTTCCACAGAGTTTGCCCGTTAAGTAGCTCCTGAACACGGGTGCACAATTTGTAGTACGTACCATAAAATCAGAACAAATTTTCATACAATTAGATAATAAATAAAACCTTTTTTATTTTAGTAAATATTTTACGTACTTTGTTTTTTTTACTTATCGAATGTTGTGGGATTTTTTTTGTTAAACCGATTTATGGAATATAATACAAATACAATTAGA